GGCGAGATTACCCTCCTCCAGAGATTTGTTTTCCGAACCTCTTCCAGGGATGAATCATGCGTGACCAGTTTCTATTCTATGTGTGGAGGCATGTGATTATAGAACAATGTTTCGGTCTCCCTGCATCCTGTTCCCTGGTTCGCCTCTGAACTGGCTTCGTTTTGTGTTGTCAACACGGTTGTGGGGAAGAGGAGTTGTTAACACCTGTCTGGCTGTCAGGAATGATGTTAATACCATTCTTGGCTGGGAAAGGTGCGTCAGATGACGGGCTGGGGCCTCTCCTGTGGGGGAAAAACCACTCGCAGCTCCCTTTGAAGTCTCGTGGAGCTGAGTGATCTTAGCAAGTTGGGGCACGGGGCCTGGTGCGAGCGGCTGGAAGCGCTGAACAAAACCCTCCTCTGCTCTGTGCCGAGCCATGCGGTTCGCGGCCTCCTTAGCGCCGAGCGCAGCTCCTCAGTCCTGACCTGCTCCCTTCCTCTTGGGGTGCCTCACAAGTTCAACACGAGTTAAAGTACACACTTAGCTCTGGAACCAAATCCTGTGTTGTCCTTGTAGCTGTAGAGAGGTTGAGTGAGCTGAATGGCTCACTACCCATGGCGTAGAGAAACGAGCTGCTTCCATCACCTCAGACCAGAAGAGAGCAGCGGTTAAAGGTCTCCCTGCACACGTGGGCATGTGTTCCCCTCCTTAGATAGAGCTCCATGGCTTAGAGCTACCCCTAGAACAGCCAACAGGTCAATGTTTGTCCTCCCAGTTATTTCCTGGGGGAGCAGTTGGGGATGGGAGCAACGACATGCGGAGGGTGTCGACTTTACTGACCGTTTACCTCATCTGACTGCGCACCATGAGTTTAGTCGGGTTTCCTTGTAGCATCTTGTGGTGTTGTCCATATCATGCTAATGGAAAAAAGTCTGACTTTGTACTGATGCAGCAAGATATCTGCATGGTATCTCGGTGCGTGATATCTGCGTGGTAGCTGATAGAACAAGATTTCTTCAACTGTGGTGTATTTCGAGTTCTAACACTAAACTTTGCAGGACATATTTTACAATTTCCAAAGGGAAAAATTATTGTACTAGATAGATCATGCCATTGGGAAAATCTATAGATACACATTTTTAAAATGTCACTTACTACTTTGTGACTGTTACTGCCAAATACAAGCAGACGGTCACGTTCCCCTTTAGCTTTGTCCTTGCAGCCTTCGGGCTGTTGAGTTTCTCTGGGTCTCTGGTTCTCTGATCTGCATCACCTTCATCTTTCACCCAAACCAACTGCCTGTTCTGTTTTTAGCTTTTAATAATTTTGGGGAGGAAAACATTGGTTTTCTGCAAGGACAGAGGTTTTTGGCTTTCAGTAGCCAATACTAACATTAGGGGTAGTATTGCAGGGAGCTGCTGCTTGATGGGGTTATCTGTGGCTGGAGGGCCGTTCGGTTGGCAGCTGCCTCCTTTGGAAGTGCTCTGCTCTTATTAAACATGGGCTGCTCCTGTGCTGTGGAGTGTGGAAGCAGCAATAAAGGCAGGATGTGTGGCCGGGAACACAGGGAACTGCGCAGCAAGGACTGCAGTTTACTCCAGAGAGACTGTCAAGACAGTCTGGTTCAACCTCTTGTATAACACAGGCAGTAGAAATCACTAAATGGCTCTTGGTGCATCGATGCCTTTGGGGTGCCCAAGGCGTCTTCTACTTTCACAACATGTGCCGTCCTCAGGCTTCAGTCCGTGTTTCAGAGCTTTTCAGCTGTAACATCTTGTTAGATCCCACTAGCATGTGCCATGAGGAGGTCTTGAGAATGGTGAGGTTCATTTTATTCTTGAGCTGTGGGATAATCTGAGCAAGGCCACCTAAGGGGTGGTTGGATTTGAGTGGTTATTGGGGAATATCTTCTGTGTTAAGGGAGACAGAAGGGTCTTCGCACACAACCTCCTTATTGTCAGAGCAGCAAGCAGCCCAAGCAAACAGGAAAATTAAAATGAAAATCAATGTTGACTCAAAGCTGAGTATTTAAGTTTTACTTCTGAATTCCTCATCCTCCCATTGACCAGCACTGGGAAAACGCCTTCCTACTCCACACTTTGTGCGTGAGGGGTATTAAATTCTGCACAAGTTCATGGTGCAACTTTGTACTGCTAAAGTAGAAAGCTTGTTTTAATTTCTTTCTAACCAAGGAAAGGTGACTGTATACAAGCAAAAACAGTTGGAAATTATCACATTTAATCATTCCTTTGGAGAGCTCTGTTTTCTCAATTTCTGTTTTGCAGAGTCTATCAGTACCCATATGGTGTGAAACTTCTCTTTGCTATTTTTATCCTTGCAGTTTAGTGGGATATTTTGTTTTTCTTTCTTTTTTTTCCTAATGAAGGTTCTGTGTGACAGCCTGATTTGAACCACAGGGATCCTTAGTTGTGATTTTGCTGAAAGCTGGTGAACAAACGACAAAAGCAAGAATTTAATGTAAAGAAAAATGAAAAAGTTGCTAACCAAAAAAATAAGAACCTTCTTTCAAGGGCAAGCTGACTGACACATGGATTGAACCTCTGATCCCTCAAACTGTGTTCTGAATCCCTATCTAAGTTAGATTAAATGATAGGTACTTCAGTAACAGCACTAAGGGCTTCCTATTTTCTGTGGTTTAAGGACAAAAGGTGATTTATGTAAGGAATGGGAGTGCCGGTGGTATTTCCAGAGCTTGAAACCAATTTAATGGGATGAGGTATAATAGGAAGGAAATACACATACAATTCATCAAACAGATATTTTTTTCAGATAATTCTGTGTGTTTAATGTTACTTCTCTTTAAACCTTATCTGAAAACCTGGAACACTATTAACAGTTTCTCTTGTTTTAATCTTTATTTCCTCCTGCAAGGTTCAGATTGTTCAACATTCAGGGCTCCTTAAAGAATAAGGAACTGGATTCTTCCTTGCTCCCAGCAGTACTGAGCAATTTGAGCTGCAGATGCTCAATTTCTTTGAAAATTTTGTGTTGTGTATGCAAATATTTGTAGATTCATAGTAGTTATCACATATTACCTTTATGATACAAAATCTTAAGAATAATCTTTGCCTTAAACAGCCTTCTAACATTTCATTTTCTTTTTCAGGTGGATTTGGAGCCAGAAGGCAAAGTATTTGTTGTCATAACTCTGACAGGCAGCTTCACAGAAGGTAAGAGAAGCACTTTGGCTTGTTTCCATTAAGAGCTCTGCTTTGGGGGATGTTATTTGTGGTCCGTTAGTGTCGTGCAGGAGAACAGGACGCTTCGTGCAGGTCACGCAGGGAAGGGACTGCTGTTAACCTCTTATTCCGTAGGTTGTGTGGTCTGCTATCGCTCTGATCTCGCACCCAGGGAGTTGATTCCTGCCTGATCTGGTTTATTTGTCTGAAGTTGTCCTTGAAATGGGTTTTGTCACATGTATTTTTTACCAGGGTGCCTCTTGAGGTGTAAGATAAGGAGCGCGTAGAACATATTTAAAACATCCGGATGGTTTTACTCCATCTGGATGTTTTCCAGATGGAATTCCATAACGATTCCCACCTACTTTGTATGCATTTCTCTTTCTAGAGTTCCCCTTTCCCTGGAAGCTTATGTGCGTTGTCTTAGATGTGTCTAACTGGAGAGCTGTTGTGCAAAACCTGGCGCATTGGAGGAAGTGCGGGATGTGCTGGTTAGGGGGAAAGGGGACGTTGGCCACGCAGGGGAGGGGATGCCTGGAGCAGAGGTGGCTCAAAGCAACATGCCAAGTAGCAGCAGTGATGGCCAAACGCCCGCTGGCCTTGGCTGGAGGAGATGGGAAACTAGTGACAACCCATCTCCAAAAAGAGCCTCCCAGCAAGTGCGTTGGTGCTGGGGGACAGGGGAGCGTGAGCGAAGGCTGCGGTGAGCGGGGCTGCGCCTGGCTGCGCAGGGCTCTGTTCTCGGCCTACGGCTGATGCAGGAAATCAAGTGACAGGGTTTAACAGGCAGAGAAACCCTACAGCTTCTCACCACAGCAGCGGCGCCGTCCGTCACCCTCACCCGCAAAAGGATAGGGGAAAAGGGTGGGGGAAAACAGCAGCTTTTCAGTAGGACGCAGCAGTGGAGCAGGGCTGAGAGGATCAGAGTTTGGTCTCCCAGTGGCAAAATTCACTTCCCAAGCAAACTTGGGCAGGTTGCATCATCTCACTGTGCTTTTCAGTTCTCTTATCTGTAAAATAGACAAGAATACATGTTTTTTCTTGCTTGGACATACACTCTTAGGGCTGGGAGATGCTCTTTTTTATCCTTATCTGCAATGTTAAAGGATCAGTTCTGTTTTTTGCTCTAGAAAGGCATTTGTGAGATGTGTGCTTTGGCTGGTGGTTGTAGGGAGATGTGAAAATGGCTTTTTCAAGTTAATTTGGGAGATGTTCCTCCCAAAGTGTGGGGAGCTGTGACTTTGCAGGTTTGGAGGCAATGGCTCTTAGGCAGGGTATGGGTAAAAAGGAAGAACCAACTTAAAGTTGGTTTTAATCGCCAGTGCAAGAGCAGATGATGGAAAGAAGGAGACGCTGAGATCAAGAGACTACAGGGCTTTTTTAATTAATTCTAGTTCCATCCATGTAAAAAATTGCCATACTCCTCTTTTGAGAGGAGATAACCATTTAAAGCAGTGTTGATCAGATTGACCTGATCATAAATCCAAAAATTCACTCTTGTGTTGGTGGCTAAGCTGTTACAGACATCTTGCTCACAGTGTGTCAGAGGCAAGAGATAGCAAACCCAAATGTGTGTATTGCTACTGCTTTCAGAGGAAAATGGGAAATGCTGAAATGGTTTATTTTTCATTCCTCTTATTTATTGAGGATGGGAGGACTTGCAGAACACGCTGAGTCAAAGGTGGTTCCTGGGACTTTTTGTGGCTTAGGCCCATGTATAGACGTGTTTCCAAGAAAGGGTACAATGCAGAGCAAATCTAAAGGTTGAGACTGATTTTTTTGCAATCAATAGGAAACAGAGGCATCAGTCAGAGAGAGAGGTTTCCTTTGCAAAATGCTGTTTTTTTTTTTTTTTTCCTGGAAATGTGGAGCCTCAGAGTTGTGCCTAACACTGAATTTCTTGGAAAGAAGACGGGGAATAACTCACAATCTTCAAGCACAAAAAGTGGCCTCCCACTTATTTGCCTTAATCTAGAGGGCAGCCACAACCACATCCTCACTACCAGCCGTGACGAACTTGGCAGCAACGTAAAACTCTGCGTATGCATCCACAGGTGCATATGTAAAACCCAAATGTCTGGGCCAGTAGTTTGTATTAGATCTTAGCGATGTAGCATGTAGACCCATGTGGAGTTTCAAGCTATGTGGTTTTTCAGACTTTTGCTCATTTTCTTGTGACTCGTGGCCTGATAAGCGTGTAGCTCATTGTATTTCCTGCTCTGAAACCTATCTATCAGCAGTGACTTGGTGCTGCAGGAAAAGGTCACTTAAAAAGCAGGTAAAAAAAGCAGCAAAGTGGTGTCTGTAGAGCAGCCACTTGTGTGTTTTTTTTAGCAGCTCTTTGCATTGCTTTCAGCAGGCTGCAGATAGAAAGATAGTGTAAGGGAGTTAGTGTAGCTATAGGGAGCATCTTCCTTTGAGAAAGCCTCTTTTTTTGGTCTAACTGGGACTGAATTATTTTATTGTCCTAGAAAGCTTGCCCAAAATCGCCATTCCCAGTGGAATTGGCCACTGGTCCTTTCTTTAGCTGTCAGAGTGGTTGCTTTTGTTTGGCCAAAAGCTTATTTGCCCAAAAATGCAACTTGGTTCTACTTTAGCAAGAGAGGGATTGGAGGAAGAGAGGTGCTTGTGTGACTGCACGGAGTGTATCTGAAAGAAGCATTCATATACTGCGGGGATGAGTGCAGTATGACAAATAGAAACTTGGAAGCACATGGAAAAGAAAAATACTCCTTTGTAGATTCTTCCATGGCCATCTATCCCTACCTTCCAAACTGTGCTTTTTTTATTCTTTTTGTGGCACAGAGAGGAGTAGCAGTGCTGTGTTTGGAAGCCCATGTGGAGGATTTCCAGGTGTCCATCTGGGCCTTCCTCTGTTCTGGCAAGCCAAGGGCTGTACCTGCAGGGTGTTAGGCTGTGCAAAACCTCGGTGTTCCCTTGCTTATTTTAAAGCCCATGCTGTGCTGATGGTTGTCTTCCAGTGCTGGTCTTCCTGCTTCCCTCACGGACCTTTCCTCCTCTGGTGGGCATTCCAATGATAATACTTAGCAAAAAAGGTAGGATAGTTGCTCCTTTAGCAACTTCAAGTAGACAAACCTGAATTTTAAACAATTAAAATTATTTTTCTCTCAAAGCTCTTACTTCTATGAAGGGAAACTTCAGTGACAATATCTCTTCTGCCTTTTAGTCTTAATCTGCTGCTTTGAGACATGGAAATATGCTGTTTTTTTGCTGGCTAAAAATACATGCAATTTTTCAGGGAGATGGAGGATTAGCTAAATTGTCCTTGCTCATCTTTATTTTCTATACTGGAAACATTTATCTCTATGTGAAGCTATATCTGATTCTATTACTCCTCTCATTCAGCTGACCTTTCCTGGATAAACTAACTGGTGAAAAAATAAAACAAAAATCTCCTTATCTCAGACCGGGGTTGCTTTTTGCCCATTTGACCAAATTTCTGCAGCTTTCTATGACGGAATTTCTGTGAGCTCCTTGCCCGGGGTCCCCGCTGCTCCTAGCGCCCTGTCACCATGGAAGGGAACGTGTTGTCCTCTTGTGATCCTTTCCTGTTGGCCTAACACCAGTTCTGCTTCACAGTCTGCTTTATACAGAAAGTGCTGAGCAACGTTTCTGTGCCAAACTTGAGGCATTGCATAGGAATTGTTTCTGTGTTTTTTTTTTTTTTTTCTTTTTTCTCCTCTCCTTCTGTGAGAGGACTTTATTTAATTAACCCTTCCTGGGAAGCTCTTCCTGGGCCCTCGGGACCATAGGGACTGGGTTTTACCGAACTGTGGGTGTTCCCACTGTCCCCTGTGTAGTCACCTACACATGCCAGGATCTCTGAAATAACCCTTGAGATTTTTGATTGTTTTAAGTTGTAACACAGTTTTAAGCTGTGTTTTAAGTCACCTTTAAAGGAAAATGTTAGCTTGAATGATCTCCAACACGGTTAGAGCTGCTTAGGATATAAAGTCCCCTGATGTTCCCCTTCTCCCACCTTTGCTGTCTCTGTTTCTCGGTTAACTTCTGATTAGGACCTTCTTCCTCACCACTGCTGGAAAGAAATACGCTTGGTATTAACGAGCCGTTGTCCAGGGCACTTCCCTGGTGTGGATGCCGCTGAGGACGGTACCTCCGCGCTTCCCGCAGGAGCGGATGGGCTGTGTGGCTTCCCTAGGGTGTCCCCCAGGTCCCCTGGCTCTGGGTAAAGGTGACCTGGCACCTCTGGGCGCTGCTGTCCTTGGGGCTTGTTCCCAGCTGGTGACACTGTGATGCTGTCGGGGTGTCCCCAGCAGGTTTTGCGTGGTCGGTGTTGGTGGCATGAATTCAGACCTGCTCTGCTCTGCCTCTTCACTACCAAATACCAGTTTGAGCTGGAAACAGCCAACCATTAATTATTTCCTTCTTGGGGAAGAATCAAATGATTTAGAACAAAATATTTGCCACGAATCAGGGTTAATTGCTCATTATTTTTGCTCCTTGGCATCTGTGAGAAGCTAGTGGAGCGACCCGGGAGCAGGAAATTCTGCATGGGCCACTGTGTTTTGCTGCAGTCAGGTCAGAGTGGGTGCAGAGGCCCCAGGTTTATACCTGCAGCAAGGCATGAACCTTCTCTCCCTTGCAACACTGGAGTCCCAAAACAAGCCCAGTCTCCTGGTTGCTTCGTCTGCAAAGTGTAGCACAGTGCCTGATGTTGCCACCTCAGTTGCTATTTGCTCTTCTTCATTTTGAGCAAAGCTAATGAACTGTAGCACAAAGTAATTATTGGAATAAGTTAATGAATGAAGTGAGCTCTGGAGAAAATAGAAGTGCTTCTATTTCAGTGCTTCAAATTCTTGCAATTTGCACTTTTTTTTTTTGACGTTGCCACTCAAAAATGATAATTTTGGCTTGAAGTTCAATTTTAAATTTACCCTTGTGCGGTAAGTAAAGGTTGTTTCTTTTCTTTCAGTGTCAGGAAAGACAAAGACAAATTTGAGCTCTGGGTA